TTGCTTATTAATAATATATTATAATTGCAAATATTATTATTAATATTTATATTAATATTATATTAAATATTATTATAATTGCAAATAATATTATTATTTAATATTATTATGCAATTATTAACAAAATATCGACAATTTCATTTTTTGAAAATATTTTTTAAGATTTTTGATCGATATATTAGATAAAAAAAGATAATAAAATGAATTAAATAACAAAATTGTTTTTTGAGCGCGTAAATTTTATCGATGAACTGTAGAAAAGGAGAATAAGTATTAAAAGAAGGATAGAAATATGATAAAAATTAGAAAACTAGTGCCATCTTCAGTGTATAATTGAAACTAAATATAGACAAAGAGAGTAAACTCAAAGAGAAGGATAGAGATATGGTAAAAATATTGCGATCAGCGCCATCTTCAGTGTGCCGCAAATGAAACACAAAAATAAAGGACAGAAAATAGTTAAAGAAGGATGGAGATAGCATAAAAGTAACTCGCAGCGCCATCTCTTGATTATCAAAGGTACCTTTAAAATAGAATAATAGACCAAGTGGTGCCATCTATTGAGAAATTATTTTACTTTTGTTTTCGATGTTTCTAGTTTCTCTCGATAGATGGCTCTGATCTTCATTTCTTACTCTATTTTACCTATTTTTAAGAGATGTCTTTGTTATTCAAGAGATGGCGCTGATAATCAGTTCCTATTCTAACTCTATCCTACTTTGTAAAATTTTAGCAAAAAACTAAAGCAATATCTATTAAAAAAAAAATTATTTTTTTATAAATTTTTAAGTAAGATATTAATTTTGTTTCGAATAATTCATAAAGATTAAAATAGAATATTTCAGATAAAATATTATGTTGTGTTTAATTAATCAATTTTTTTTCATACATACATTTTATACAAATATATATTTAATTTACAATAAATATTTACAGATTATCTTATTATCTTTCTATATTAGATATAAATTAAAGAGATATCTATTAGAGCGATATTACAGGAATTAAATAATTATTTTATTTTTAATGCAATTTTTTTAATAATAATTTTATATATTGCAGATAAATTAAAAAACTCATATCATTTTTTCTGTAGCAAAAATATCGACATAGTAGATAAAGATATAAAACAATCAATAGTTTTTTATGGAATATAGCGGTAATATAAAGAATATGTTGTATAGATTTAATAATAGAGATACGATAAAGATTAGAAAACTAGTGCCATCTTTAGTATATAATTGAAATTAGATATAGACAAAGAGAGTAAACTCAGAGAGAAGGATAGAGATATGGTAAAAATACTGCAATCAGCGCCATCTTCAGTGTGCCGCAAATG